CAGATGCAAAAGCCTCTAAATGCCATTTGAAATTTTCTTCTTTAATGATCATTTTTATCAAGCCTGTATATTTAAGTTCAGTGATTTCACTTAAATGGCAATGATGATTATCTATTAATTGTTATTTAAGTGAAATCACTGAACTTAAATATACAAGTTTGATAAAAATCATCATTAAAGAAGAAAATTTCAAATGGCATTTAGAGGCTTTTGCATCTGAACTCTTCATATACATGCATACAAACAAGTGGAATTAATTTTAAAGATATACAGGACATGTTTGGAGCAAAAGTAAGGTTTCAGTATTATTGAAAATTAAAACTAAAAAAAACACTCGATTTTACATTTTATCTTTTGCAATGAAATTCTGATTTGTTATTTATAAATATTAACACCATAACGCCACTATTGTTTTAAGCAGAATTGGAATTGGTTTGATATTTGATGAGGTTTGCATCATCGACTCACTTGTGTTCAGTGTCTCTGGACGTTCCTCGCACGTCCGACTTGGCGAAGATGAACCAGCGTCTGGTGGAGGCCAGCAGTCAGTTCAAGAGGAAACAGGGCAAAGGCACGATCGACGTCTGGTGGCTGTTTGATGACGGAGGTGAGCAGAAGTCCTGCGTGTTCTTCTGTCCTGCCAGGTTTACAGTGTGACGGGGTGTGTGTGTGTGTGTGTGTGCAGGTCTCACGCTGCTCCTGCCTCACATTCTGACCACACGGAAAAAATGGAAAGACTGCAAACTCAGAATCTTCATCGCCGGGCAGCCCGAACGCATCGAACAGGACAAAGAAGAGTATGTCAGCTGGTGGTCGGGCGATATTTGGCATTTTTTAATTATCGCATCGGCTGATAAGTTCCTATTTTTGGCCGATGTGTCGACTTTTAATTTCAAATTGTGTGGGACTTTTATTTTGAAAGAGTTGAAAACGTCATACATTGTCTAGTTTGGTTTTATATTTTCAAATTAATTATTTCTAATTTAGTAAATATTAGAGGTTGACCGATATACTGTCGTTGCCGATGTATCGGCCAATATTTTACATTTTTAAATATGGGCATTGGCTGATACGTTTTCTGTTTGGCCGATGTGTCGAGTTTTATTTTGAAATTGTGAATGGACTTTAATTATGAAAGCGTTGAGAATGCTATACATTCTTTCTCTTCATTAGTTCACACACTGTCTGAAGTCTATTTATTTTTTTAAATTTTCATATTCAAATGAAGTATTTCTAATTTATTAAACATTAGTGTTCGATCAAGGCCGAGGCCGATGTATCCGCCGATATTTGACTTTTTTTATATCAGCTGATAAATTTCTATGTTCGGCCGATGTGTTGACTTTTATTTTGAAGTTGCGTGGGACTTTGAAACGCGTTGAGAACGCCATCTGAACTCCCATTCTTGGTCTTCATTAGTTTACAGTCTGAAGTCAAGTTTTTTTTTATATATTTTCATTTCCAAATGAACTATTTATAGTGTAATTTAGTAAATATTAGAGGATGACCGATATACCGCCAAGGTTGATATTTGACATTTTTACATATGGGCATTGGCTGATACGTTTTCTGTTTGGCCTTTTATTTTGAAATTGTGAATGAACTTTAATTATGAAAGCGTTGAGAATGCCATACAATCTTTATCTTTATTAGTTTACTTGTCTGAAGTCAAATTAATTTTATCAAATTAATTATTTATACTGTAATTTAGTAAATTAGTGGATGACTTTGACATTTATATATATATATGGGCATTGGTCAATGTGTCGTTTTTTTTTTAATGCGTCAGTTTTTTTTGTCGTGAAAAATATTATGATAGGATTACAGAATCAAGAACTTGCCATCTAAAATATAAGTTTGTTTATAAACTTTTTTTAAGTACAAATATTTTTTTATATATAATTCCTTTTTTTAAATAATTTATTTCTAATGTAGCAAATATGATAATACATATAAATGTATATGTATATACATATAACATGCGTAATTTCAGCAATTATGCATGCTTTTCTGCATGTTTTTTGCATCTTAAAATTAGATATTGGCATTTCCCAAAATAAAATGTAAAAAATAGAAACAGAAATAAAATCAAAAATTAAAAATATAACAACACAAATAAAATATTAAAATTTCAACAACTGTTATGCATGCATTTTTTCTGTCTTTAAATTAAAAAAAGTGTGCTATATATATATATATATGAAGAGTTCAGATGCAAAAGCCTCTAAATGCCATTTGAAATTTTCTTCTTTAATGATGATTTTTATCAAGCTTATATATTTAAGTTCAGTAATTTCACTTAAATAACAATTAATAGGTAATCATCATTGCCATTTAAGTGAAATCACTGAACTTAAATATACAAGCTTGATAAAAATCATCATTAAAGAAGAAAATTTCAAATGGCATTTAGAGGCTTTTGCATCTGAACTCTTCATATATATATATATATATATATATATCGGCCATCTTGCTTTCTAAGAAATTGGCATTGGCTGTGACAGGAGTCTGATTTAAACATGCTCTATCACACTGCTCTATCCTGCCCCTAGTGGAAACGCATGGTTATAACACCCTAGATCTGCTTCTGAACGCCGCTGCTGCTAACCGTGTGTTTTCTCTGTAACTGTGCTCCAGAATGCAGTTGCTCATGAAGAAGTTCAGGATTAAATGCGACGACATCCAAGTTATCTCAGACCTCAACGTCCGGCCCAGCACAGAGAGGTACGCACGCAGAACACACACATTAATCCTCATCCTTGATCTGCCTTTACTCACCGCTGGTGTGTGTTCAGCTGGAAACTCTTCCAGGACATGATCGAGCCGTTCCGTCTGCACGAGGGGTCAAAGGACACGACACAGGCCGAAGCCCTGAGGAGAGAGCATCCCTGGAAGATCACCGACAGCGAGCTCGACATCTTCGAGGAGAAGGTGGACACACACACACACTTTAATAGATTTAATAATAATTTGTATTTAATAATGATTTATAGTATGTGTGTTTCACCTTGAGTAACTGTGTGTGTTGTGTGTCCAGACGATCCGACAGGTGCGGCTGAACGAGCTTCTCCAGGAGAGTTCCAGAGCCGCTAAACTCGTGGTGGTGTAAGTTCTCATCCGCGGTGCTGTGTGTGTGTGTGTGTGTGTCACTCATTACATGCAAACCTATGTAATCAGATTACTTTTTCAAGTAACTAGTACACGCATTACTTTTCAATTTTACAACAAAATATCCGAGTTACTTTGTTTTGACATTTATTGACTGACAGCTGTCCTGTCCTCATGTGGAGGTCAGTGTTTTCTCTTACAATTGATTCGCTTTTGGTGAACTGTGGAGTGTGTAAAACTGTTTTTATTGGCAGGCTAGCAGTTACCGTTGACTCGCGCTTGCTTAGCATCGGCGAACTATGCAACTGGATGAACGTTTTTGAAAACTGTCTCCACTGATAAATAACACTAAGGCTAACTTGGAAATGAGGCCCGATGTCCAAAATTCTGAACCGCCCCTTTAAGATCAGATTTGGGTCTGGATTTCCAGGCTAATTAAGTATAGCAATTAGTTACTTTCACAGGGAGTGACGCAATATTGTAACGAGTTTCTTTCCAAATTCAGAGTAACTTTCCCCAACACTGCTCATCAGTATCATGTGTGTGTGTCAGTACGCTGATCATGTGAGTAACACAGTGTGTGTGTGTGTGTGTGTTTCAGGAGCATGCCGATCGCTCGTAAAGGCTCAGTCTCAGATTACCTGTACATGGCCTGGCTGGACGCGCTCACGAAGAATCTCCCGCCGACCCTCCTGATCCGTGGAAACCACCAGAGTGTGTTGACCTACTACTCATGAACAACACACACACACACACACACTACTCGTGCTATTTCTGCAGTATGCATATTGAATGTGTATCATTTCTTTTGACATATTATTTAATTAGACATTTTTATATAAAATTCACATTAAAAATGCTAAATAAAAAGTATTTAGCATGTGATATAAACTGCACACTTCTGATTTAAACATAGCATATTTAAAATACCTGCTCTTTCCTGCCTCCTTCTGGACATGCGCGGTTAAAATATCTGTGTCAACAGTATAAAAGCACTTTAGGGTCAAATTATTCAGAATGATCAATGAAAGTATCATGTTATTGTACATATGTTCACTGACGGCCCATTATTATATTATCTTGTTAATCCTATTTATATTTCTGTGGTACTGGGAAAGATTGTGTGAAATTATTTCATGTTATATATTCAAATTCAATTACATAAATGTTTTCTCACAGTAAATAAAGTTTTGGAAAATCCAAGTGAGTTTTCTGTACTGTTTGTGTTATATATGCCTGATTAAATTATTTTTTAAGACTTCATGAAGTTGATGAAAAGTCTAAATTGCGACTTGACAAATTCATAAGTTCTACGTTTTAATCTCATAAGTATGACTTCGTAATTATATATTTTTTTTATGTCATTCGACAAATTTCTACTTTTTATGTCATTATGATTATGAATTACCACAGCATGTATTTGTGGTGGAAACGTGAAAGGTTCTGCATTAGTTACTGCACTTGTGATATGCGTAATTAAATAATTTATTATGACTGCATGCATAGTCATAGTTATGAGATGAAAAGTCAACGTTTTAATTTCATAATTATGATTTTGTATGTGATTCGACACATTTCTACTTTTTATGTCATGAATTACCAAAGCATGTTTTTGTGGCGGAATCAGGGTTCCATAAAGTTCAGTTCAAATGTTATTATCAGAAGTAATACATTTCACCTGAGTATTTAACGCTGACAGGACGCCGTCGTGTCGAGTTTCTTCTCCCTCGGAATAAACCGCTTCACATTCACATGATTCCGCGTCACTCCGAATCAACCACTCGCGATGGAAGGTGAGTTCAAACGACCGTCAACCTCCAAGAACTACACAGACAGCAAAAAACTACAAGTCCCAGAATGTAACATACACAAACACAAATGGCGGTTGAAGATGATGGTTCGGTGTGTTTCTGTCGCTGCTGTTCGCGGTTTACACGGGTTTGTGTTCAGAGGTCAGCAGCTTTATAGAAACTAAAGCGAAAAATAGAGCGAGCGTTAATATCTGACTGCAGCCTGTAGGTTAATATTGGACTTCATTTTAGTAGTGGCTAAATCACAGTTAACTCTCCCAATTTATTATTGAATAAAATTGTGATTCGACTGCTGAAATGTGATGATATAGGTACATCGAAAAAGGGGAGGGTAGACATTTTTGCGGTAACTGATTTAAATAACATGCTACACATTCTGGTGTGACGAGTCGTTATGTCGCCTTACGTCATGCAGTACCCACCACTCAGAACGTTTCCCGCGGTGGGGTCGCTCAAATAATGCGCGCGAGATTCTGGCGCGCTCAGAATCACAGCATACACTCACTGTAGTTTTGTCTCGAGGATCGCCCAGCACGCGCTCGTCAGTAAAATGCCTTGCTCTGAAGTTACAGAAGCGGTTTCGCCGCAGAAAAGATGCAAGAGTGATGCAGTGAACGGACACGAAGAGCAAAAGGTGCTCAAATTCGCCAAACTGACAGAAAACGCCACGACACCGAGCCGAGGATCGGACCGAGCCGCCGGATTCGACCTGTACAGGTGATTCTTACATCCGTGCACTGCTTTCCTCTCTGCGGCTGTTTTTAGAGGAATAATGTGGGATAAAATCTTTCAAACTGCCGTAAGCACTTGGATTTCCGGTGGTTACATGCACGTGGTGGTGATGATGATGATGATGATGAGTGTGTTTCAGTGCATATGACTACAGCATCGGGCCGATGGACAAAGCTCTGGTCAAGACTGATATCCAGATCGCGGTCCCACACGGATACTACGGGAGAGTCGGTGAGAGTCACGTGTCCGAATCCGTTTATTTCCACACACAAGAAAACTATCATGCTTTGGTAAATCTTAAAGGAGTAGTTCACTTTTAAAAAACACTTTTGCTGATAATTTACTCGCCCCCATGTCATCCAAGATGTCCATGTCTTTCTTTCTTCAGTCGAAAAGAAATGAAGGTTTTTGATGAAAACATTCCAGGATTTTCTCCATATAATGGACTTCAATGGGGACCAAACGGTTCAAGGTCCAAAAGACAGTTTCAGTGCTGTTCTGTTCAACTGTTCAAAGGGCTTTAAACGATTCCAGACGATGAACAAGGGTCTTGTCAAGCGAAACAATCACTCATTTAAAAGAAAAAAAAAAAAAAGAAAAATTAAGTTTTATAAGCACAAATGGTCGCCTTGCTCTGTTAGGGTTAGGGTTAGCTAGTTCGAACTTGTTCATCAAAATGGACGAATCTTTTTCCAAATCAATTCGTTCATTTTGTTCGTTGAATTAACCAAATGACGCGAAAAAAGATTTGTCCCTTTTGATAAACGAGTTCGAACAGGAGAGTCACGAATGCTCATCACAGAACAGAGCAAGGCGACCATTTGATCTTATAAAACCTAAACTTTGTTATTTCTTTATTTAATAAATGAGTGATTGTTTCACTAGATGAGACCCTTATTCATCATCCGGAATCGTTTAAAGCCCCTTGAAGCTTCACTGAAACTGTTTTTTGGACCCCATTGAAGTCCATTATATGGAGAAAATCCTGGAATGTTTTCATCAAAAACCTTCATTTCTTTTCGACTGAAGAAAGAAAGACATGGACATCTTGGATGACACGGGGGTGAGATTAAAAACATAAAAATTCAACTTGATCATAATTTTCACCTTCTTATAATTTGACGACAAACCATCCAATCAGACAAAATCAAGCCCCGCCCATGTTTGCCGGTGTTCATGAGTGTTTTGCCTGACGCTGTGTGTTGTGTTGCAGCTCCTCGCTCGGGTCTCGCGGTGAAGCACTTCATCGATGTGGGCGGTACGTCTCTCGCTCGCGGCCGTCACTGATGACCTCAGAATGATTGTATGAATGAGCTGACGTGTGTGTGTGTCGTGTTTCTACAGCTGGTGTGGTGGACGAGGACTACAGGGGGAATCTGGGAGTGGTGCTGTTCAACTTCAGCAAAGAGACGTTCGAAGGTGAGAGGAAGCTGGCAGGGACAGTGGACACCTCCCCATACGCTGGTTTCACGCAGCCGCCATTTTGAAACGGCTGCGGTGGGAAGAAAACTGGAAGTGTCGCCTGTAATCATAGGAGAGTCGTGAATGAAATTATAATTATTAGTATTTCTAAAAATGTACATCCATTTATTTTATACTTTAAACTATATACACTGAAATTCATTTATAAATATTTGTATATAAATTCAGAACGTAAAAAAAGAAGCAGGAACAAACTATACATACCCTATATTGGATATTAACATCCAGTAGTGTAAATCAAGGCATTGTCGTCTGTCTGTAACGTTACTTCCGGGGCTCTTCCCGCCGGAGCCTTGCTTTCCGATTCAAAATGGCGTCTGCGTGAAGTCGGCGTCCAGCTGTTGTTACCTGACATGTTTCCTCCTGCAGTGAAGAAAGGCGAGCGCGTCGCTCAGCTGATCTGCGAGAGGATCTGTTACCCGGAGCTGCAGGAGTTACAGGTGAACCTCATCCGCCGTGTGTGTGTGTGTGTGTGTCTCTGCAGATCAGACGGTTCACACTGTTTTCCTCTTTCAGACGCTGGATGAGACTGTGAGAGGAGCAAGCGGCTTCGGCTCCACCGGCACCAACTGAAACTCAACTGTAGAAATGCTGCGGGTCGGGGACACTTTACAATAAGAGCTCGTTTGTTAGCGATGAGCAACACGCTTCTCGCAGTATTTAGTAACTAATACTACTTTTGATTTGAAGTATTTTATCATCAATATTAATAAATGCTGTAGAGGGATTGATCAGGTTAATTAATGAAACCTTATTGTAAAGTGTCCTTCACTGATTGATGTAAAATGACTAATTAGTTTGTACATTGTGTTATTAAATGACATTTTTGATTATATTTCATAGTGTTGACTGTTGAGAGAAGTTTTTCTACATTACTGTAATATTCATTAAAGTGATTAATTAGCTCCACAGATGTGAATGTTTTACTTTGAGTGTTTCTACAGGAGTGGCTTTATTTCTCATTGATTTAGTTTGTTACACTTGATTATTATTGGTTACATTTGCAATAAGGCTTCATTTGTTAAACTTACTTGGTGAACTTGAGCAATACATTAGTAGTTAATAGCACTGTAACCTTGCACTAACATTGGTTAAGAAAGGCTCATTATTAGTTAATGGATTGACTAATGACTTAAGTGTTTCTGATATTTTAATATTCGCTGTTTTTATTTTGCACATTATCTTGAACACACATGGTTTTATGCTTTAAACTCTTACAGTGATGGAGAATGTCTCTACAGGGCACTTTATAAACTTAAAAAAAAAAAATATATCAAATATTGTGTTTTAGGTGAGATCCGATAAACTGCTCATGCTAAAAATATAATACTGTAGTTATGATATACACCACTGCTGAATGAACATTAATACCCCAAAATACATTAATTTACCCTATAAAACCTATTTCATACATTCAGAACTTTAGTAGTTTAGTCTGTTTTATCCAGGAAAAGTCTTTTAGTGTAATTTTATCAAGTAAACATAATAACTTTGATATTGTTGGTAATACTTCGACTGGACTGAAGCAGGTTTACTTGATAATTCAGTTATTTATTAGAAAAATATCAAATATGATCATCAGGCTTTAGAGTTCAATGGTTCATCTGTCGATCATTGTATTGCATGATATGATTTAAAACAGCATTTAAATATCATCTTGCTAAGACATTATTGGCAGATATTGATATCAAGTATGCTCTACTGTTATAAAATGTCATTAATTTACATTACAAGCATCAGAATTTCATCACTTTTTGTTCAAATACAGGAAACCTATAAGAATATGGTGCAAATGTTCATTTATTTCAGTAATTCAACTTAAAAGCTGAAACTAGACTCATTACATGCATAGTGAGATATTTCCAGCCTTTATTTGTTATAATTGTGATGATTATGGATTACATTTTCACAATATTCTAATTTTGAATTTAGGGTTTTCATATCTGTAATCCATAATCATCACAATTATATCAAATAAAGGCTTGAAATATCTCCCTTTGCATGTAATGAGTCTATATAATATATTAGTTTCACATTTTAAGTTGAATTACTGAACTTTTGCACCATATTCTCATAGAGTCCATCTGTAAATATCAGCTTCTGCACCAAATTGCCTATTTTTACTCAGTTTGAGTGGATTTGTTCTCACTATATAGAAGCCTGATGCATCAAATATGATACTCAAACACATATGCAAATTTCTATAATCTAAAAAATGTATCTATTATGTCATATGTCAGGCTTTACTGGGACAATGATTGCCCAGTATCACCAATACAACTGGTTTCCAACACAATGGTCATGTGACTCTGGAATGAGTGATTCTGCCGTTCTGAAATCAAGGCAAGCGGTCGAGTCGACCCGAACAACCAAAAATATGTTTTTATTGTGAATGTACAACTAAACCCCTCACGAGTGTGAAGACAGAACAGAACGGCGTGGTTCTCCAGGCCGAGGCCCGACGGCGTGTGTGTGGAAGTGTGTGTGGCCGCGAGACCTCAGTGCATCGAGTCACAGAAACACAGTTTACAAGTAGTTGGTCATTATAAGAAGCACCATTACAAACCCCTCCGTTCCAGGGGTCCTCTAGTTTACATCGCGAGTAACAAAGTGACACGGTTACAGTATAGACACACTTAAATTACATGTGGTATAGTTGCAGGAGAACAGAAGCGTCGGTCGGCCGCTTGTAGACGATTATTACAGTGCATGAATCGAGAGCACTGCCAAACACGACGTTCTCGTGTCTCGGCTTCCGGCACTGATATATAAACACTCTTAAATCAAGATGCGTTTCCGGGAGAAGCAGAATGAGGAAGATATGAGCTCTTGCTTACTGAATATTTTTTTTAAATTAAGCGTTTGTGCTAAAAACAAACAAAAATAGTGAAAATCCAGCTGTTTATGTGTCTATGTGATGTGTTTAATGCGCTTTAAGACAGTGAGTGAGTGGGGGCGGGGCTCATTTGCATATTCATAGAACCGCACATACTAAATGAGGGTGTCGGGTTACATTCAAGAAATTTTAAGGCATGACATTTTTTTTTTCAAGGAAAAAACGTTGAAATATGCAATTTTGGCGAGGAAAGATGAGTTTAAAGTGATAAAAGTATTGACTAAACGCCGACTTTACGTCATTCTGCTTCTCAAGTAAATGTACTGTTATTTAAAGAGGAACTATTACGCTCTTTTACAGTCTTGATGATGTTTCCGGCTCTACTAGAAGAGTTTCTCCTGCTTTAATGTTGATTATTTCCTCATATTCTCCATTGTTGCGGCTCTTCTCAACCAGGCCCCGCCCCTTTATTCTGCGCATTAATTATTATAATGAGGAATATTGTGACATGTTTGTTCCCGGAAGAAACTCAAGACTACAACGGAGGCGTTTCAGGAGTTCAGGAACACTGACGCTCATACAGAGGAGGACTGGAGCTCTTCATGATCACACACTGAAGAAACAATAGGACCTCTTTACGTTTCTTTTCTGATTGGGAGTTATTTGTTGTTGTTTTAAGCACCCATTTCAGACACCAAGACTATCTCAAGTCATCTTGATTTAAGAACGTTTAGATATCTGTACTAGAAAACAAGCCAAAAACACTGTTTAAAGGGATAGTTCACACAAAAATGAGAATTAGCCCTTGATTTACTCGTCCTCAAGTCATCCTGGTGTATATGTAGTTCTTCTCTCAGACGAATACAATCAGAGTTATATTAAAAATGTCATGGCCATCTGCAGGAAGCTAATTATTTTAGTCAAAAAGTTTTAAATATGGATATTTTTCTTACATGAACGCATCGCTTCACTTTAGAAGCCCTTTATTAACCCACCAGAGCCGTGTGGAGCACTTTTATCATGGATAGATGCACTTTTATGATTGAAAGATGCACTTTTATGATGGATAGATGCACTTTTATGATGGATAGATGCACTTTTATGATAATAGATGTACTTTTATGATGGATAGATGAACTTTTATGATGGACAGATGCACTTTTATGATGATAGATGAACTTTTATGATGGACTGATGCACTTTTATGATGGATAGATGCACTTTTATGATGGATAGATGCACTTTTATGATGAATAGATGCACTTTTATGATGGACAGATGCACTTTTATGAAGAGCAGGGCATTTTTTAATATAACTCTGACTGTGTTCGTCTGAAAGAAGAGTGTCACATACACTAAGATGGGTTGAGGGAGAGTAAATCATGGGCTAATGTTCATTTTTGGGTGAACTAACCCCTTGAGAGCGTTTTGTGCAGTGCAGCAGCAGTAAGATGCGATAGATTGAGCGGCGAGAAAGAGAGAGAGAGCGAGCGAGGCTCTTCGGCACGCGTTCCTCCACAGCGTCTATATTGGGATGCGAGCGTATGATGGAGAACAGGGCTGCACGATTAATCGCAATTTCCATGTAATCGCACTTAAACCGATTATTTTGTGTGCGCAGCTTGTCAGTGAAGCACGGCTCAGTAAACGCTGCTCACTCTGAGTTTGAGTCACATATAACGTGCATTTGAAGAAGCAACACATCTTTCCAAACATGTGTGAGAGAAACGCCCTCTGGTGTTCAGATGGAGCAGCGTTTACCGGTCCGGTTTACTGATCCACCGATCAGTCGTGCATAAAATAATCGCAGCCTTTGCCAAACGGCGTGCGGTTTCGTTGCGATTAATCGCGCAGCGCTAGTGGAGAGGCAGGTGCTGGTCTTTGGCCGTAGCTGTGGGCGGCAGTCTGTGCGTTAGCTGGATCAGTGCAGGACGATCTGAACTCGCATGAGCAGAGCGTGTCCCAGCTGCGCGCTGAGGTAGTCCGAGTCCCCCGGCTCGAGTCCGCCGGCCCGGCCCACGCTGCGGATCTGCAGAGAATACACACCCGGCTGGAGAGGCTTCTTCTTGGATATGTGCAGGTAGCTGACGCCGTGCTTCTGGCTCATCAGGAACAGGCCGTCGTCGTTGCCGTACTCGATGGCGTAGCGCACGTGATCGGTGAGCGTCGACAGCGCCGGGACGAACTCGATGATGTGGTCTTTGCTCTTCAGCGTGCTCATGTTCAGATGGAGATGGAGTGTGTCGTCCACGTCCACACTGGCTGAGTCCAGATCGTTCTGGAGAAACACACACACACACACTGATCGTTAGAGGAACCACACGCACATATTCAGACACGAGGTAAATGAACAGAAACTGGGAGTGCTGCTATATTTAGCCCTTCACCTGGGTCAAAAATTGCTAATAAATCTCTGGTTATGCTGTGTTACTGCATTCAATCATGTTTTATTTCAATTAACACAGGTTTTAGGCGTCTCCGATTTATATGAGCTTGAGTGAATTTTTCCACTCAAACACGGATCAATGAGCGCTACGGTCAGAAACATAAAACCTGCCCTCTCTCCACAGGCAAGGTATTGAATATTTATGAAAAATAAAAATAAGCAGTAATAAGCATAGATTTACAATTAGTCTGTGGACATATCAAGTTGGGTCAGGATGTTCAGAAAAGGATTCCAAGTCAGTTCAAAGACATCTAGTTTTCCTCGGATAGAGTGAAGAATTTTTTCTGGTTTTTCTTTTTTCTTGTTCCTTGTTTGTGTTTTGTAATAATGTAAAATTATAAATAAAACGATAAAAAAACAAATGAGCAGGCCAGTTGCCATGTCAAAAAACAAACCAAAAAAAAAAAAGAAACCTAAAACCTGTGCTAACTAAAAAGAAAACAAGTTGATAAGAAAGACTGAATCTGATATTTGACGTTAATAACAACCCATATTGGGAGATTTATGAGTCATTTAAAAAGCAGGTCACTTTTGAGCTGAAACACCAAATTAGGTAAAATCTTCAGGACAGAATAAAGGGTTAAACCATCTCCTGTTATTCATGCAGTAATTACAACAAAACTGCTT